AGGCCTGGATCAAAGAACACGAAACCAGATGCTCTTTCGCGGATGTTCGAAGACCCAAAGGAGGCCCACAAACCCGACACCATCCTGTCGTCTGGTAATTTTTTGGCATTACAGACGGAGCTACGTTCCCAACTACAGGCAGCATCCATAGGGGCTCCAAATGTTCCAGGGGTGCCACTACAGAATAGAGATGGATTATGGTGGAAAGGAGAACGAATCTTGGTACCTGACGAATCTCGCACCACGGTCTTGGGCCATTGCCATGACCATCCCCTGGCTGGGCACTTCGGGGCCCGGAAGACGTTGGAACTTCTACAACGTATGTTCTGGTGGCCCAGCATGTCCAAAGATTGCGAGGCTTACGTAAAGACCTGCGCGGTCTGTCAAAGGAATAAGCCTTCCAGGAACAAGGCTTGGGGGCTCCTGCGACCCTTTACCCATACCTAACAGACCGTGGGAAATGATTTCGATGGATTTCATTGTGGAACTTCCTCCATCTCAAGACCATACCACCATTTTCGTGATTGTGGACCGCCTATCCAAGATGGCCCACTTCTTGCCTCTCAAAAACACACCATCCGCTGCGGAGACGGCGCAAATCTTTGTGAGAGAGGTGGTGAGACTCCATGGAATTCCTAAGGATATAGTTTCGGATAGGGGTGCCCAGTTCACCTCCAAATTTTGGAAAGCACTATGCGAGACGTTGGAAATCAAGTTATCTCTCTCCTCGGCATATCACCCACAGACCAATGGACAGACCGAACGTACAAACCAGACCTTGGAACAATATCTCCGATGTTACACATCATTTCTCCAGGACGATTGGCTAACTCTTTTACCACTGGCCGAATTTGCTTACAACAATGCTAGCCACTCGACTACTCAGCAATCCCCATTTTTTGCCAATTACGGCTTCCACCCGACCTTTTTACCTGACACAATTCCTGAAAGTTCGGTGCCAGCTACACAGGACATGTTGCACTTCCTTTCTGCAAACAATAAGATCTTACAAGAAGCGATCCTGAAGGCCCAGGAGGGCAGTAAGAAAGCCTTTGACAAAAGGAGAAGAGGGGAGCTTATGTTACACCCAGGGGACAAGGTCTGGTTGGCCACAACAAACCTTAAGATGATATGTCCATCGCGGAAATTGGGACCGAGATTTATGGGCCCATTCCAGGTAAAGAGGAAGGTTAACGAAGTGGCGTACGAGCTCGTACTCCCGGAATCCTTTAGAATACACCCGGTATTTCATGTATCGCTGTTGAAACCCGCGGCACCGGACCCATTCCCGAACCGGAGATCTAGGCCTCCTGACGCCATAAACGTTGATGGGGAGGAGGAGTTCGAAATTGAGACTATTCTAGACTGTAGGAAGAGGGGGGGTCAGACTCAGTTTCTCATTAAGTGGAAAGGGTATGGTCCAGAGGAGAACTCATGGGAACCCTCCCAGAACATTCATGCCTCTAGATTGATTCGGGATTTTTTTGACAACCACCCACACAAGAGAGAACTGTTGGGCATCCGGCGGCTGCCCGTAGGGGGGGGGGGCAATGTCAGGATCCGGGTGTTCTGCGGCATCGCGTCGGGCGGCGCATGCGCAGAACACCCACTCTCTCTACCCGGCGGGCGGTAGGACCTGGCCGCGCATGGCAGCGGCGGGGTTCGCGCATGCGCACTCGGGATCACGGACGCGCGCCTGGCACCAATGACAGCGGGAGGCGGGCTATTTAAACGCAGGAACAGGTATGTTAGTTGCCGTTTGGTCTTGTATCCTGTGTCCTGTATCCTGTTCCTGTGTTGCTGTATACTCCGTTGCCGACCTCTGCTTGTTCCTGATCCTGCTCTCTCCTGTTTGACCCCTGGCTTGCCTGACTACTCTTCTGTCTGATCCCTGGTACTGTATTTGCCCGCATCCTGCTGAACCTGGCTTGTGACCCTGACCATTCTTAGCTCGCTCCTCTGTACCTCGCTGCCCGCATAATACCGACCGGCCCTGTCTGACCACGCATACCGTATCCATCCATCCATCCATCCATCCGGTTTGGGGTCAGACCTGTGTATCTGTCTGCCTCTTCCAAATAGATTCCGTTCCTGCACTCCCCTGTCAGTATTCTCTACCACCGCAGGACGCACTCGGGGGTCGCGACCTGGTTTCAGTCTGCACCAAGTCCATCCCCACCATCAGGGGCCCTGGTGAATAGCAGGCTGGGACTTAGACCCCGCGCCCTGGGAGCGTCCGTGCGGTGGGCTGCTAGAGACTCCAGTTATTTCACTGGGTATGGAGTATGTAAGGGATACTTTAAAAACTATCCCTGTCTCTTTTGTTTATATGTCCAGAGATTCTTGAAAGGTAAATGAATGGGGCCAGGTAGCATTACGGGTTGTTAAGGATGCAGCAGGTGCTTTTCTTACCAACCACTGACAGAAGAAGATATAAGATACGAAGTGAGAAATCAGCAGCTACTATATACAGTATGATATTAAGCTACTGCCAAATGGGCTGTAAGTCTGGCTTTTAGATGCATGCCTAAACAAGCAAAGTATGGTGTGAACCTGTGTTCAGACTGAAATGGGAGCTCATCCCTAATTTGAAGCTGCACCCTTTGGCTAATCATTTGGAAATTAACACGTGACTCCACCAAAGCATGATCATCTTTGCTGCCTACTCCAAGGTGTAACACTACTGAACACTCAGATCCTTCCTCAGCTAATATTTTAAGAGATTTAAGGACTTGGCTATCTAGAAAAAAAATGCATGCACTATTCTGGACTAGGATATTAAAATAATTGTACACTTTTAAATGTTTTTGTTGTTTTAACTAGATATGACTGTAGTTATATTCCCTGTGTTGTTTGTTTTACCTTACTTTGTAATGATGAGATTACATGTTGTGTCTTCAGATTGTAGTGTCATGGATGACTAATTCTCCTTTATCCATATATTAATCCACCTACTGTGGTCCAATTGACCAGGGTGACAAGCACCTTGTTCATTGTTATGCAGCGTCCAGTCAATGCCTCGCTATTTCTCTGTGTTGCATCACAAATTTATGAGTGCTAATTTTTTTAAACAAACACATCTATTCCAGCATAGTGAGTTCTGTTAATTTACATATAAAAAAGGTGCAGCGCTTATATATTAAAACATGCAAGATATCAAAATGCAAGAGTATATCCCTGCAAAACGCAGGCAGGGTATAGTTATTGTACTGTCCCTTATAGTCTCAATTAACACATAAATATATAGTTCACAATCTCCCAGTGGGTAGGGTGAGGTGAAGGATCAAATGGATCTCTATTGACAATAGAGATCCATTTGATCCTTCACCTCACCCTACCCACTGGGAGATTGTGAACTATATATTTATGTGTTAATTGAGACTATAAGGGGCAGTACAATAACTATACCCTGCCTGCGTTTTGCAGGGATATACTCTTGCATTTTGATATCTTGCATGTTTTTAATATATAAGCGCTGCACCTTTTTTATATGTGAATCTTTGGAGGTTGTTTTTTGGGTACCTTTTGTGTTCAGCAGCTTTGTTACCTTTAGCGCTCACTTATACCTATTTTTACAGTTCTGTTAATTGCTTTCATCTGCACCAGCACTAGATCGAGAGACTGAGGGATTGTGGGATATATAGTTTCTTTACAGGAAGTGTTGGTTCTTAGACTATAGACAGCTGTCATGCATTACTCTGTGTAGTGCCATGCTGCATGCCTCATGTTTCAAAAGACTGTCCATGCTGATAAACAAACACCGTAAAACTACATGATCAACGGACATCTTATGCAGGTTAAAAACGCAAGGGGTAGGTAAGAAGGGGTGAACAATGCTCTAATGCCTGCTTGAGGAGCAAGGCTGGCATAATAAATTCTTACTGATAATGATGCCATCCCCCAGCCCAAGAGAATATATCCACCGCACCAAACGAAAGAAAAGGGGGGGAGGAGAATGATTATTATCTGAAAAGAAAAAATAAATAATGAATGAGTTCTACAGGGTACAAAATTGTGGAAACTTCCAGGTCCTCATTGAGGCCTCCAAGTAAAAGGGTATCTAATGTATAAATGCAGTATGTTCTTCTTTCAGAGATCTTGTGAAACCGCTTTGCCTCGGGGAGACACCTGGATAATTATTTGATGATCCAAACTTCCATATTTTTAGTGGATTTTTTGTGGTACTCAGTAAAGCACTGTGCTTTTCCTTCCCTTTTTCCACTAGGCCAGTGGTTCTCAACCTTCCTAATGCCACGACCCTTTAATACAGTTCCTCATGTTGTGGTGACCCCCAACCATAAAATTATTTTCGTTGCTACTTCATAACTATAATTTTGCAGTGAGAGGAGTAGTGCCACATCATTGGTGTCAGTGGGAGGAGTAGTGCCACATCACTGATGTCAATGGGAGGAATAGCGTCCCATCGTTGGTATCAGTGGGAGGAATAGTGCCCCATCATAGGAGTCAGTGGGAGGAACAGTGTCCCATCATTGGTATCAGTGGGAGGAATAGTGCCCCATCATTGGTGTCAGTGTGGGAGGAATAGTGCCCCATCATTGGTATCAGTAGGAGGAATAGTGCCCCATCATTGGTGTCAGTGTGTGGGGGAACAGTGCCCCATCATTGGTGTCAGTGGGGGGAAGAATAGTGCCCCATCGTTGGTATCAGTGGGAGGAATAGTGCCCCATCATCTGTGTCAGTGGGGGGGAATAGTGCCCTATCATTTAGTGTCAGTGGGGGGAATAGTGCCCCATCGTTGGTGTCAGTGGGGGGAGGAATAGTGCCCCATCGTTGTTATCAGTGGGGGAAGAACAGTGTCCCATAGTTGGTGTAAGTGGGGGGAGGAATAGTGCCCCATCATTGGTGTCAGTGGGGGGAGGAATAGTGCCCCATTGTTGATGTCAGTGGGGGGAGGAATAGTGCCCCATCATTGGTGTCAGTGGGGGGGAATAGTGCCCCATCATTGGTATTAGTGACACCAATGATGGGGCTCTATTCCTACCACTGACACCAATGATACTTTCCTTGCTGACCCCTGCTCCAGCCTGGGCTCGCTCCCTCTCCCATCTACAGCCAGCATACCTGGCTGCAGCAGCACCATCTGCACGGTACAGAAACTTACTAGTCAGCTGTCTTCCTTCTCCAGCCGCTCTCCTCTTCACTCGTTCCGGCAGCTCCCTCACTCGATCTTCTTTGATCTTCTTGCGACTGCTCGGCTCCTCTCCAAGCTCCACCTTTTTGCCAGTGATTGGCCACCTGTGTGCCTCTCCTGAGCTACAGTTCTGGTGGCCAATCACCGGCAAGGAGGCGAAGCTGTTGAGTGATCCCAGGGGTGTGGCCAGATGACAGGGGAGGGATGTCATCCCACCCACACATCGCCTGGAGATGGATATAGGAGCGGTGTCTCGGTTCCTAAGACCATCAGAAATATGTGTTTTCCTATGGTCTTAGGTGACCCCTGTGAAATGGTCGACCCACAGGTTGAGAACCACTGCACTAGGCGGTGATGTTCACCAAAATGTTTTCTTAGCAAGCAAATAGTACTGCCTATGTATAGGAGGTTTACAAGGACATGTGAGGCAATAGATCACGAAGTCCGAGGAACAGTTGTAAAATTCATCTAATTGAAACATCTTGTCTCTAGTACTAAACTCTTTTTTGCCATGTTGAATGAAAGAACAAGTTTTGCAGAGTGCTTTTTTACACTGATACATGCTGAAGATGGGTATAAGGCATGTTTGTGAAGAGGATACAGTGTGGTTGGATTTTAATTTACTTGGAGCAATTTTGTTCTTTAGTTTTGGGTCCCTTCTATATGGTTTTTTGGAATAATATACTCCATTTTTTTTGTATTGCTGATGAAATCTAGTTAGGAAGCTAGCCGATTGATCAAAATTATCTCTAATTACACATTCGGGTTTGTCCTCAAGATAAGTGTAAGTTTTTTTGATTAAGGGTTCCGGATAGCCCTTTTCCAATAGTTTTTCTTTTAAAGTGGAACTTTGCTAGATGTTATCTGAAATTTTTGTACAGTTTTGCCTGAGAACGCAAAATTGCCCTTTTGGAATGTTACTGATCTATTTTGGATAATGACAACTGCTGTAATGTAGAAGGGAATTGCCTGCTAAGGGTTTGTTATAGTTTTTTGCCTGAATTGTATTATTCTCCTGATATACTTCAAGATCTAGAAAGGCCAATTTTACATATCTAATACATAGGTAAATGACAGTCCAAACCGATTGTTATGGCCGTACTCAACAAATATTATGACTAGGTTGGTGGGACCACCCCAGATGATTATAATATCATCTATGTACCTCCTAAAAAAATAAGATATTTAGCAAAAGAATTATGGTTCCATATGTATCTGAATTCCCATAGATCCATAGCAAGGTTAGCATATGATAGCGCAAAATTTACGCCCATCGCAGTCCCTTGGACTTATAAATTAAATTCATTAAAACTAAAATAGTTACGTGTGAGACAAAATTCTGTAGCCTCCAAGGTAAAATTCACCTGTCTCTGATCGGTGAATAAAAGCATCATCTACAGCAGGAGCTCATGATCTCTCTCACACAGACTGTGGACTATTGATGTGCTCGGTTTTACCTTACGAAATGTGAGTGAATTCTAACCCTGTTTTATCCAATAAATCTGCGAACAGTCTACACTCAGAGGCACCTCTATATTTTCTATTTTATATGTTCTTTGGAGATGGCTTCTGATGTGCTGAATTCCTGTTTCCCTGCAACTCAATAACTGGATGGATTTGCTGCTGCTTCTTCATTATACCTACAAAACTTTCATGTAAGGCACTGTCACATTTAAAGGGCCATTAATTTTGCAACAATACAAACCCATATAATGTTCTCAAAATCCATCTTCTACAAAGTCAATCATCTTCCCTTATATAGAAAACTTGAGGACCTTCAGGGGTGGGTAAACCATGGTCTGTCCTGCTTAGGCAAAATTCATTCAAGTTGATTTTGTTACCACGCCTAATTTATTACCTTTGGTCCCTACCCATATTGGTCATATGATTGGATCTCTCTAAGTTTCAAGCCAAAATAATTTGATTTGTCTGGGGTAGTAAGGGCTACAGATTGTCCAAATGGGTTCTCTTTGCACACAAAGTGAACGGTGGTCTAGGTCTCCTACAGCTCACCTTATACTATCAGGCTGCCCAACTTGCACAGCTTTCAGTGGTATACTCTTGCACTGAAAAAACTGAATGTATAAATATGTATAAATATGGCACGATTGGTCCCCTTAATAAATGGCAACCCTCCAAGCACAGACCACAGACCACCAGTCTTAGCCCCAATACTATTGCACTCCCTAGCTGAGTGGGACAAAGTGTGGAACAATCGTAGCCTGATATCACATTTTTTCACATTATCTCATATTTTTAACAACCCAGCATTCCTCCCGGGGATGGACCCCAAGGCATTTCGCTGGTGGCTCAATAAAGGCTTCTACAGGATAGGCCATTTCTTGATCCTCAGGGGACCCTTTACCCTACTACATTGTCATTCTAAACTGAAAATGCACCTTCGGAGATCTTTTGGTTTCATAAACTTTCCCATTTCTCAAAGTTGTTAGGACCTGAGGTCCTTAGGAATCCTAAAATATCTCCTTATGAATATTGGTGCTCACAGGACATGGGTCAGAGAGGTGGGATTTCGGTTATTTATAGGTTCTTTCTAGACACCACTGACAAAATGCCTTATATGCAGGACTGGGACCTGGACTTGGAAAGAGATGTGGATCACTGGCACAATTGCTTTCATCATGCCTTTATGGGAGTCATATCTTGTTGGTGGAAGCAAGTATGAAAGTCATGACTAGATAGTATAAGGTTTCCTCCTGACTCTCAAGAATGTTTCCAGGCACCTCGCCACTGTGTTTTCATGGCTGCCACTCCAGCGGCACCATGTAACACATTTGATGGGAATGTCCAAAACTACTGAGTTTTTGGAACAAAAGTTTTGCTCTAATTAGGAAGTTAGGAAGGTGTCGGGAATTCCTGTACCCCAGTACTATTAGGGCAGACAGATCAGACAAGGGTCAGTCCTTATTGATGGGTGAAATTGGGAAAGATCCCCCATCTTTCCCAATTTCACCCATATGGATATGGCAGATGATAAGAAGGTTCCCATGTTACAAACAACCAGTGGAATTGGTACCATTTGTAGGAAAATAAAAAATATGCAAAATACGTGTGCACAAGGTGTCAATTAATTAAAGTGTTTGTTCAGCAAGTCTGCCAAGCAAAATAGGTGGGTTTTAAGCTTTGGTAAATGAACAGAACTATGATTTAATTGGTATTGCTGAATCTTGGCTTCATTCTTCACATGACTGGGCCATTAATATTCCTGGCTATGTTCTCTTTCGGCGAGAAAGGGTAAATAGGAAAGGTGTCAGTGTTTTGTCTTTATTTGAGAAGTGACCTCAGAGTGAGTGTGAAAGAGGACCTAGTTCATGGATGGTGTGATGAGGCTGAAGCATTATGGGTGAAACTGCACATGAGGGTGCATACTACAAAGGTAATCATTGGAGTTTGATATAGGCCTCCCAGTGTTAATGAGGAGGAGGAGACTCATCTCCTTGCACAGATCTAAAGGGCTGCAAGGGCTGGAACAGTGATAATAATAGGGGATTTTAACTACCCAGAAATTGACTGGAGTAATGATACTGCAGTAACAGTTAAAGGGCAAACATTTTTAAACCTACTACAGGACAATTTTATGGTACAGTTCATAGAGGCCCAAACTAGGAATGATGCTCTGCTGGACCTGGTAATCTAAAACCATGCAGAGCTTATTACGAATGTCCATATAAAAGAATATCTGGGTAGCAGTGACCATAACATGATTTCATTTATTGTTAGCTGTAAACAGCAGGCACATACGGACAAATAAAAATGCTCAATTTTAGGAGAGCTAATTTTCCTAGGCTGAGAGCTGCTCTCCAAGACTTAGACTGGGAGGGAATATGGTATCAATGAACACAACACAGAAATGGGAGTTCTTCAAAAAGTCTGTATGTGAACACACTGCAAAATATATTCCCATGGGCAACAAGTTTAAAAGACTTAATATCAAACCTATGTGGCTTACTGCCAAAGTTAAAAAAGCTATAGATAATAAGAAAAGAGCTTTTATTAAATATAAATGAAGGAATGCTATCATCGTTTAAACAATACAAAGAATATAACAGAATATGCAAAAAGGCAATAGAGGCTGCAAAAATTGAAAACAAATGATAGATTGCAAAAGATAGCAGGACCAACCCCCAAAAATTCTTCAAATATATTAATAGTAAAAAGGGTGGGTGACTGGGGACAAAGAGAAGGCAAATTTATTCAATACCTTCATCAACTCTGTGTATACAAAGGAGCATGGTGGAGCTCTTGTCCATAATGGGCATGGTATTGACACAGCCCCAGATGATCCACATTGGCTCACAATTGATATGATCCAAAAATATTTAGACAGAATAAAGGTGAATGATGGCATACACCCACGGGTCCTTAAAGAATTGAACTCTGTCATTTCAAAGCCATTGTTTCTAATTTTAGGGACTCTTTAATGACTGGCATAGTACCACTGGATTGGCGTAAGGCCAATGTGGTGCCAATATTTAAAAAAGGGTCAAAATCTTTACCAAGTAATTATAGACCTGTTAAACTTCTATAGTTGAGAAGATACTGGAGAGTTTAATAAAAGACCACATAGATGAGTTCTTGCTGGAAAAAAGTATTTTAAACAGACAGCATGGATTCATGAAAGACATAAGTTGTCAAACAAATCTGATTTCTTTTTATGAGGAGGTGAGCAAAACCTTGGACAGAGGGGTGGCAATGGATGTGGTATACTTGGATTTAGCAAAAGCGTTTGACACAGTTCCCCAAACATGACTAATGTGTAAGGTAAAGTCTACAGGCTTGGAAAAATCCATATGTAAATGGATAGAAAACTGGCTAAAAGATCATATTCAGAGAGTAGTGGTTAATGATTCATACTCTGAATGGTCTAGGGTTGTCAGTGGTGTACCCCAAGGTTCAGTGTTGGGACCCTTACTTTTTAACCACTTGCCCTCCTGAGGATTTACCCCCCTTAATGACCAGGCCTCTTTTTGCTACTCGACGCTGCACTAATTCAACTGATAATTGCGCAGTCATGCAATGCTGCTTCCAAACGGTATTTACGTCCTTTTTTTCACACAAATAGAGCTTTCTTTCGGTGGTATTTGATCACCTGTGCACTTTTTATTTTTCACGCTATAAACCAAAAAAAACCAAACATTTTGAAGAAAAACTATATTTTTTACTTTCAGCTATAAA